GGCCTAGTGGAGCAGCCCCTGCTGGGAGCCTGCATGGCCCAGAATTGATAGTGGCAACAGTGTCTTAGTCTGCCGTGTGTTGCTATAAAGGAGCACCCGAGGCTGAGTAGTTTATAAAGAAAAGGGAGTTTTCTCACAGTTCTGTTTGCTGCTAGCATCTGCTTGGCTTCTGATGAGGCCTCAGGAAGCTTTTATTCATGGAGGAAGGCAAGGAGGGCTGACATCACATGGCGAGAGCAGGAGCAAGAGGAGGAGGAGGAGGTGCCAGGCCCTTTCAAACAACCAACTCTCGCGTGACTAGTAGAGCGAGAATTCACTCCTTACCGAGAAAAATGTCAACAAGCTGTTCATGATGGATCCAACCACCAGGGGATCACACTTCAACATGACACGTGGGGGACACTACAGGCTAAGCTCTATCAGGTGGTCACCTCGGGGCTGGTCACCACTCACCCTCTAAAACCCTACTCAGCCTCTGAAGCCCTCACCTGGTTTCTAGACTTGATGGGCCCAGGGGTCAGTCTCCTGACCTCACTGGGCCTGTTTCCTCCTCCCTTAAATGGAGATAATGATGGTCCTGGAGTCACAGGGTTGGTATGAGGCATGAGTGAGGTACAGGGAGTTCTCAGCACTGTGCCAGAGACATAGTAAGTGCTCGTGAGTATGAAATGCTCTTCCAGGAAGACCAAGTGCATCAAGCCTCAGATCTGATGGTTTCTAAGCTGGTGGTTCCACCTGCCCTGAAAATTGCTTGGATGATGGTTGGCTTGTTGAGGTTTTGCATATGCTTTCCTTTCACACCCTTCGCCCAACAAAAAGACCCTCTTTAAGTCAGGCCATTCTGAAAAATGGTAATAAATGCTACCATAGACCCAGCACTTCCCATGAGCTAGGCTCTGTGCCCCATGTGCATCAACTCATTCAAGTTTCATAAAGAGCTTCACAAAAGTCACTTCTTGTCACCATCATCCCCTTCCACAGTCAAGAAAACTGAGGCACAGAGAGGCTAAGTAACTCACCTAAGGTTCCATAGCAAGTAAGTGGCAGCACTAAATGCTTAGCACTGAAATAACATTTATATTTATCAGCCCAGTGCTGCATTGCTCTTAAAGCACCCCTCACTCCTCTCTACCCACCTCCATATTAGCTGTTGGTTGTGATGACCAGTCTCGGTGTCCTTCTGAAAGGAGACAGAGGTCAGGACTTCTCGTTGCCATGGTTGACGTCCTAAAGCCTTCTGACTGCCCTAAATCAGGCTGTTATGCTGTATTCAGAGAAATGCCTTTCCTTTATCACCTGGCCAATTCCTGCTCATACGTCAGCATCCCACAGAGGGTCATCTTCCAAAGCTCCCAAGTTGTGCCATTGGAACAATGACTTCTTTCCGTTCGGCTTGTCCGTTTATAAACCACTCCCCTAGTTGCCCACAAACTCCTGGACCATTGGGACAAACTTGAATCTTCAACTGTGTGTTCCCAGTTCAGCACACGCAATGCCTCGCGTGAATTAAACCCCCAGCAAATGGCTAACCAGTGGCTGGAAATTTACGGTAAATTTGTGGGACCTTGACCTTGGGTTTCTCCTATAAACCAGGAAGGGGGGAGGAACAGTTTTAAAATAGAAATCTTTTGGACTGGATGTTTGGAATAACATGGTCAAATTCTGGATCTATGTGTGTTTATTTTAAGACAAAATTTAATTTTTTTGAATTCTTCAAAGATTAAATTAAATCGACTGGTCCCAGAGCTGTTTGCTAAAGTGATGCTTCCATAATTCCACTGGCTCGCACATTTATTAATTCAGAGTAGTGAAAAGGCCATCAGTTTTGGAGTTAAATGAGACCTAGGTTTGAATTCCAGCTGTCCTAGGTACATAAGCTTGGGCAAGGATCAGTAAGCCTTGATTTCTTCATCAAAACAAGTAGAGTTACATGCCCCTGTCCTCTTCCTCCCATCTCTTCTGGCAGTGCCTAGTGACTGCCACACCCTCCCTTGTGCTAATGTGACTAGTGCTCAGGACCCACTTATGAGTGAGACGTGCAGAACACAAAGGGTATCTGGTCCTATACCGGGGGGGAGTAAGGGCCAGTTGGAGGCCCAAACTTTACCAGCATGCAGTCTACTTGTGTAGTTAACCCTTATTTGTACCTCACATCACTATAATAATTTTTTTAAAGATTAAAGGTAAATAAATTACTTAGATTAAAAAAAAGAGTGGGGTTAGAATGCCTGCCTCATAGGCTTGTTGTGAGGATTAATTATATATTATGATGTACCAGAGAGTTCTGAAATGTGGGTTTTCTTTCCAAGGAGGCACACATGTATAGAGATATGGAATACAAGTTTGTTTTTTTTTTTTTAGTTGGAGTCTCACTCTGTTGCCCAGACTGGAGTGCAGTGGCACACTCCCAGTCACCGCAGCCTTGCCCTGTTGGCCTCCGGCGATCCTTCTGCCTCAGCCTTCCGAGTAGTCAGAACTACAGGCGCATGCTACCACACCCAACTAGTTTTTGATTTATTGTAGAGACGAGGTCTCACCAGGTTGCCCAGGTGGGTCTCGAACCCACGAGCTCAGGCAATCCACTTACCTCAGCCTCCCAAAGTGCTGGGATTACAGACTGAGCCACCAAACCCGACCAAGGAGTACCAGTCTTAAAATGTTTTCTTCCTCCTCTTTTATTCATTCGCTTATGCATTCATTTAATCATTTCACATGGTCATTCAATCAATCAGCATTTATTGAGAACCAACACTATGTCCAGCAGGAAGAGAAGGGCTGTGATGTCACTATAAAGAACACGGACATTATCTCTGATTCATGGAGCTTAGATTTTTGTGGAAGGTGGACTTGATGGCCCAGGAGGGCTTACTGGTAGAAACAAGAGAGCAAGACTCCCTCTCATAGGAGTGAGCACATTTGACAGAAAATATACCCGAGTAGAAGTGAGGTAAATAGGAGGACAGTCTCCCACCCCACAATGCAAGGTGGAGACCTGATTGCCAGGTGTCCACCAACAGATCCAAGTCGTCCAACTCCCATGTGACTCTCCAACCCTACCTTGAAGCAAGCTTCTTTTTATTTTCTCTACTCCAGCCATTCTGGCTGCATTCTACTCTTCCAGCTATCACAGGACCTTTGCACATGCTGTTCCTGCTGCCTGGTATACTATTCCCTTCATTCTTTACCTAGTTAACGCCTTCATTCCCCCCAGGGATGCCTTTCTCTAGCAGCCCTGATTGGATAAACCCTCAATTTACGTGGTTTCATAGCAACATTGTGGCACCAGACCCTATTTCAACTCAATCTTTATTTATGTAATTATTGATGAATGTCTGCCTCACATAAACGCCAAAAAGTGCAGAAAGCACATCTGTTTGGGTTCACCACTGCATCCCTGAGTACCTAGCATGGTGCCCAGCACTAAATACTTAATTAATGAATTACTCAATTTTTAAAATGCCAGTTTGGCTCCTAACTGGCTTAAAACAGTAATTCTCAAAGTGTGGGGCTGGAATTCACAGCAGCAGCTTGTTAGAAATGCAAATCCCAACATAGACCTACGGAATCAAAAGCTCAGAGACGAGGGAGAAGATTGCCATCTGTGTTTTAACAAGCCCTCTAGGTGATTACAATGCACACTTGGGTCTAAGATCCACCTTCCTAATCCCCTCACCCTGAACCTTCAGATGAGAGTTAAGAGAATACATTCATGCAGATAAGAACTCTGTTAGGCAGAAAACTAAGCTGATCATTTTGGATGTGCCTTGGCGATGCGGTGAATTTTGGACATGACTTGAGGGTTTTTGGAGGGCATAGTCATATGAAGACTCAGATGGCGTGGGGCAACCGAAGCAGTGTCTGCACCCCAGGAGATGCATATGCAATTTTCTAGTTAGTGACTCTACAGAAACAGGACTCAGCTGTTGACACACACTGCAGTGACTAAACTTTTGCTGGGGTGAGTTTGGGAGTAGAAAAAGTGAGATATTCGCTAAGACAGGATTATCCTGCTAGCTTGCAGATCTGAGGGAATGATATTCTTGTCTGGATAGAGTAGAGATCCATCAGAAAAGGAATCTCTGTGGGTCTGAATATCTTCCCCACAATCTCAAGAAACTTCCCACTCTACAGGGCCCTTCTATATAATATCTTCTAACAGTAGAAGCTCAGTAAATGTTTGCTAAGTGCATCAGTGAGTGAATGAATCAATGAATGTATAAATAAATGAACAGATCAACAAATATGTTGTCTGTCTAATGGAATACAAATGTGGCTTCTCTCTATTCCACAACCTTCCATTGCTGTAGGAAGAACCTCTCTATTTAACCTTCTTCCTCTAAGAGTCAGTTTTAGGTTGGACCTGGAGATAGGACGAATATAAGCTTGCAGTTAGATTAACATGCCTTTATCTCTTCACAGTGAAGGGAGATGGAGAGGGAGGAACACCAGTTCCTGCTAGACCAGCTGCCCAAGAGGACAGGGACCATGTTGGTTTTGTTCCCAACTCTATCTCCAGCACCTTGGACAGAGCCTGACACATTAACTCTTGCTTCACGAATATGAATTTTTCACTGACTTATCAAATATGACTGTTACGTGACAAGCCTGGAAAAGGCATTTTGTTGCTTCATTTCATTCTCACCACAAAGAAACATACTAGCTCCACTTTATAAAGGATAAGGCTAAGGTTCGAAAAATTGAATGAGACAACTAGATACAAACTCAGATGTTCTGACCTCATGGCCATTCTTCCCGCCTAGACTGGGTCCCAGTACCAGCTACCGTAAATTTCTTTGCTTCCTCCAGCTTTTGGAAATTCTTATAGTTGGACCCAGGATGATAAATCCACCTCTTAGGCACCTGCCTATTCATTGCTATTTCTGGAGCTATCACAGGTTCCTGATTTGGAGAGTCAAACAATATGACACAGGAAAGGAAATGAATAGACCATTTGGTTCCCAAAAGCTTACAGGATTTTGCCTTGTCTTCTCACCATTTAGAATCTCTGCTGAAGGCGTGGACATTGTTTTGGATTGCCTCTGTGGGGACAACACTGGAAAGGGTCTCAGTCTTCTCAAACCCCTGGGAACCTACATTTTATACGGTGAGTGTTAAACAGCAGCACAGCAGGGATGTGGTGAGCAACGGGGAACGCTGCATTTGTACCTCCAGGCAAAGTTCTAAAAGATGAATTGTGTTGATATGCTGGTGTAGTGGGAATGCAGGTGTTCAATGTTTTTAGTGTTTTCTATAATATTTCTGTTGCTGTGAGTTGTTTTCCATGATAAAAATGGCATGTGTACCTACTGTCCTATATCCTATCATTTTAAATGGGATAAAGCAAGGCCACACCAATGTGGTCACTGCTAAGAGTAGTACCATTAAGGGACTGATCCATGGAAGGTGGCGTGGGTGGAAACTATTAATGGCTTCAAAAGAAGTTCAAAAAAATGAAGACATGAAGGACTCACAATAGAATGGGGAAGAATGGCTAGGGTGTGGGGACATTAAGGGAGGTTTTTCTCTGTTGGAAATGAAGTTGCAAAGCACAGATTGCCCTTGCACTAAACTACTCTTGAGTGTCCCGATAAAGACAGAGCCATGGATGGATGGACAGATGCTTGGATGGAGCACATATCTAGTTCCATCTACTTCTACACCTACTTCTATGCTCTTGGGTGTGGGGGAGATGTATGAAAAAAACTGGAATCAGGTTTTCACCAGCAAAATGATACTCCAGAGCCTTCCTTCCCCCTCTCCAGTCATAGGCATGCAAACTAACTTGAACATTCATCTCCACAAAGTGAAATAGGCATATATGAAGCCAGATGTCATATTCCAAAGCCAAATAGTATTGGGGTTATCCAATGTCTGAGATTCTTAGAACCTCTGTCCCCTCTAGGTACTATAAAAATTTGACCCTTAATATGGATAACTAAAAAACACTTATTTCTCTGCTATTAGATGAAGAGCTTATAAATGTGGGGTGTAAATCTTCAAGCATTTTTCTACCGTCATCAGATCATGTTAACAGATCTGATAGTGTTGAGCTCACCAGAGGTGAATAAACATTTAATTGCTGAAGTGTTCCAGTAGTTTCTATCACTGCCACACATTTCCTTGGCAGTGGATGCCTGGTTTATTATTATTACCAATGAGAACCTATGAGTGCCAGTGCACATTGTAAGGATATTGGATATGACTTACATGTGAGTCAAATGCAGAGGGACAATTTATTCATCTCTTCTTATCATTTACCAGGGGTTCTATTTTTGTCTCAGTTTTATAGTGTCATTTTGGTAAAATTCAACCTGGTCATCTCACAAGTATCTAATTAATTCCATTGAATACTTGGTTTCTAAGTAATGAAAACCTGGTACTGTCATGCCTGGTGGCAGTTACCCCATAAAGCAGAAGCAGTGGTTAACTAACTAGCTACTCGCTTTCCCAGGCTAGATAACTAAGCTTAAAATATACATTGTTATTTCATTAAATAACTGTTTTCTGAGAAGAACCTACTCCTATGCCTTTGGGGATAAGGCAGGAAAGCCATTGTAAAGGCACCAATATTGTATCTGAATGTTCCCACTACTGTTAAAGCTCTCTCATGTATCAATCTGTTTTGCATTGCTATAAAGAAATACCTAAGGCTGGATAATGTATAAAGAAAAGAGATTTATTTATTTTGGCTCACAGTTCTGCATGGTGCCAGCATCTGCTGGGCTTCTGATGAAGCCTCTGGAAGCTTACAGTCATGGCAGAAGGCAGAATGGACAAGAGAAGGCATGTCACGTGGCAAGAGAGGAAGCAAGAAAGGGGAGAAGGAGGGGCCAGGCTCTTTTAAAAAGCCAACTCTCATGTGAACTAATGGAGTGAGAACTCACTCATTACCCAAAAATGGCACCAAACCATTCATGAGGAATCTGCCCTTATGTCCCAAACACCTTCCACCAGGCCTTACCTCCAACATTGGTGAGCATATTTCAACATGAGATTTGGAAGAGCCAGCAATCCAAACTATATTACTCATTCCTCCCTCCCCAGCCCCTGAACGCCTATAAGGGTTTTTTTTTCTTTCTATACGAGTATCTTAGGGAATCTCTCTCCACCCCACCTCCCATCTGTCCCCTGAATATTGCTTATTTCAACCGGCAAAGCTCAGTGTCTCATACACCATGTCTAAAGTAGTTTTCACCTTTCTGGCTAGACCTCTCTGAGGCTTATACATTGATCACACCATTTCCTTGGCTTGTAAATCTATTTTCGTCCTCACCTGCTGCTTTCTCCTATACCCCATCTTTTCCCATCCATCTATATTCTAACTCAGCAGCGTCTTTCCCAACAGCTAAGTATCCAGAGCTCCTCACGTGCTGGGAAATCCAGTTCAGAACATAAAGTAGGTTCACTAAGCAATTCCTTTCTCAGTCTCAAAGAACAGAACCAAAAAGTCATTTCAGCAACTCATCATTTTATTCAGATGTTGGCCTATATCATACTTTTGCTACATGCTCAATTTTCCAAAGTAATGAAATGGTCACCATGAGAAATGTCAGTTTCTCTTTGATCCCGCGACTCCTAGCTAAAATAGTCAACTTGATGCCTTGCTCCCATTTCCCTCATTTTTTCAAGGCTTAATTAAATTTGTTTTCAAGCTTCTGCTCGCTCTGGGTCAAATAACTGCCATTTTTTCATGCATAACAAGAGATGTTAACTTCCATTAGCACTTGCTTGATTTGGGAATCTTCCATTTGCAGGCTCGTCCAACATGGTGACTGGAGAAACCAAGAGCTTCTTTAGCTTTGCAAAGTCAGTAAGTATCTAGGCGCGTCTGATGTACTGTGGTGATGCCCTGATTTGCATGCTGTGAGCTCCTCCATTGTAAGACATTGACCTATTCCTTGTCCTTCATCTGCCTCATTTATTTCCAAAAGAGCCTGCCTTCCTGCTCTACTCCCCGTGCCTAGGCAGACCGGAACTTGGGCTTCTTTTGCCTAAATGAAGCAGAGAGGTAGGAGTGTCAAGAAAACTTCATTTTTATTTCAACAGAGAGTGCTTCAGTGTTGTTGTTTTTACTTACTGGTAATGCACTCATGAGTGCATTCTATTTGCTCCATAGAGAGGGCAACCTTTTGGTTTGGCTACTTTCTGATCAGGTCTCTGGGGGTACCGAGATTTCTCTGCGTCCCCATCCTACTGAGTTGCAGATACAAATGGGGACCCGACAACTTTAACAAACTCCTGGGGCAATTTTTAGACATGGGCAAGTTCACGAACCACTGTCTTAAGTAATTATGTTCTGAACATGGTGGTCACTTTGCCTTTGAGAAGCCACATACCTAGGCATTCACCCCACCACAAACTGATTTAGATCTGTGTTCTCATCTAGAACTATACTTATTCGAATTAAACTAATTTGGGCTTGAACTTCGATTTTTACCCCACCCACCAACCCCGACAGGTAATTGCTGCTTCTCATAAGTGCTTGTTCTTGTCCTCTCTACTCCTGGTCTCCTATGTCACCGGTGCAGGATTGATTGATTGACTTACTTGACAAGCCTTTTCTGAGCACCTGCTGTTTGTGGCACTGTGCCAGGCACTGAAATACATAGCACATCAGATAGGTGCATGCTTGGCTCATATTCTAATGATGGCGACAAACCTGAAATAAGTAAGATGTATTATTAGCATAATTGTAAATGGCTATCAAACCTCTAAAGGGCTAAAACCACTAAAATAGAAAACAGCAGGATGGGGTGAGGGCAGTTATAATAGGGAGGTCAGGAAAGCCATGGTAAGGTAGTTGGAATTCATTCTACGGGTGGCACTGTGGGATATTCATATGCCCCCTACTTGTCAACACTGGCTGCCAGAAACTCCACCCCCAAACATTCCCTGATTCTGGAAAGGTTCATACTCCCTGCACTTGTGAGATTGGAATCAAAGGGCCTCTCTTTGAATTTAGGCTTTAAAGTCTGGGGCAAGGATCATCTCGACTACAGAATCTATAGGAGGAGTGAGAATGGCATCCAATGAAGAATGCTGTCTGGAGTGCATCCCCTGAAGACCAGCTTTGTACAGGCACAGCTGCTTTGTTGCTGTGACTGTAATTAATGTGATCCTGACAGACTGCTGTGGGTAACCACACTGGTCCCAAATTACATGCAATTGTAAGAAGTGTTTTCCCTTTCTCCCCTAAATGCACAATCTCAATACACAGTGTTAACAAAATAATTGCAGTGTGCTCATGTTCAATGAAGGCATTCATAAAAACACTGCCAGGATGGAGACTGAGAATCCTGTGCCCAAAACAGGGGTGCCCATTACCAAAACACTTTGTAGCTAGGGTTCAGGAAAGAAAATGTTCACTTTCAGAGGCCTGGTCAAATATGAGTTGGTCGGTTAGAAGAAAATCAAACAGAGTGCATATCAAGAGGTAGAATGATGACTTTGCTCTGAAAAGTTCTAAAAAAAAATTTTTCAGTACATTCAAGGAAGACTTAGAAATTAAGGGTATATGGGAATCGTACAGAGATTTCTCACTCAGCTATTTTAATTATGTTTTATCTTAACATTGCTGCAGCGCTTGTGTTTCACTGTTAAACATGCCATTTGCTTTCACACCATAACAATGATGATACTAACAGGGGAAGTTAACATTCAGAGAACAGTCTGACTCCACAATAGAAGCTCTTATTCACTAAATTGAGAACATCCAGGTAAATTAAGACGATAATAAAAATGGTGTATTTTTACAGAGCACCTCGTACATGGCAGACACTGTTCTAAACACTTTATATGCATTAACACATTTACCCCTCGCAACCACCCCATGAAGTACAGTGAGGAAACTGAGCCCTGAGAAGCTAAGTGACTTGACTAAAGTCACACAGCTAGTAAGTGAGAGCTGGGATTTAAATTAGGCATTCAACTTCAGGACTCTTTTTAACTACAACTGTGCAGCAAGCAATCTACAATCTGTGTAGATTCTGCAAACATTCATTCTGCAAACATTCACTGAGGTATCGCGCACACACTGTGAATCAAGTTATTATTTTTCTACTTTTGCTTTGTGCCACGAAGCCCATAATCAAATGCATGGCTCTTTTTGAGCTGGCCTCCAGGTCCTCACCGAATGTACTTTGGTAAAGAATTTTGTGTATGAACCTCATCATTGTTTAAGACCTGTCTTTCTCACACTTATTTTCCTAATGTGAGTTTCCTAATTTAAAAAATCAAATTTTTTTTACTTTTGTGAGCTTCCTCAGTTCTTTTTGGAAAGGGGCAGAAATAAATAAGCACATCAATAACATAAATGTTATCAAATGTTTCTAAATGCCCATCACATTCTTTTTTGCGGTCTATATTAAAACTGGTCTTCAACATTTTACCTTTTAGAACCCTCCAGAAGCTGAATGTTTGAATTTCTAACCTATAGCCAGCACCAAAGGAAGCACAATTAAATCAGAACACAGCCACTAGATAACCATTTCCGTTAGTTGCTGATGGATCAGTTACTTATTTTGATGTCTGAAGGGAGGAGACGAGAGACTGGAAGAGAGATGGCCACCTTTACCAGTTGTGTGACTCCCACCAGGGCTTCTCAGCTTTAGTGCTTTTGAGATTTGTGGCTTGGTCATTCTTTGTTGTGGGTAATTCTTTGCTGTGATCATGTCTTGTGCTGAGAATTGTGGGGTGTTTAGCGGCATCCATTGCTTCTACCCACTGTATGCCAGTAGCTCTATGCCCCCTCCCCGCCTTCTGTCATCACAACCAAAAATATCTTCAAACATTACCAAATGCCCTCTGGGGGACAAAACTGCCCCAAGTTGCGACGAACCACTGATTCAGTCCCAACACTTTGGCTTTATCCCTCCTTCTTCCTACATTACCTTCCTCCTCCTCCTCCTCCTCCTCTTCTTCTTCTTCTTCTTCTTTTTTTAATGAGTTGGTGTCTCTGTGGCGGCTCATGCTGGAGTGCAGTGGCATGCTCACAGCCACTGCCGCCTAAACCTGCTGAGCTCAGGCGATCCTTCCACCTCAGCCTTCCAACTAACTGGAACTACAGGCATGCACCACCACGCCCGGCTAATTTTTTGATTTATTATAGGGATGAGGTCTCACCAAGTTGCCCAGGCTGGTCTCGAACCTATGGGCTCAGGCAGTCCTCTCACGTCAGCCTCCCAAAGTGCTGGGATTGTAGGCATGAGCCACTGCACCTGGCCCCTTCTTCTTTATCTGATGCATTCCTTCCCACCTCTTCAGGTTTAACCTTGTCATAACCACAGCCCTCCCCGCCCCCACCCAGGAAAACAGTTCCTTCAGTCAGAATGGCCACCTCCACTGTGCTCCCATCACATTGTATGATTTCCCTGACATCCTACTCCTTTTACCAAGCCCATCATCACTGCCACCACTCACTAAGCCAAGTGCCCTACACTTATTTCTCCCAGAAAAAGCAGAGGCATGTTGGTTAGTTGGGAAAAACTAAGCACAGAGATTAACAGAGAGGACATCATAGAGTCAGGATTCAACTCCAGAGCCCATGATCCTAACCACATACTGCTTCAACTACACGTGGCCTCATGTTTGGTTTGGGGCTCTCTCTCCCATCTACACTAGAGCCTCTCATAAGCATCACTGCCTATTGTTTTCTGTGCACTCACAGCAGTGCCTAGTGAAATAGATGCTTTAAAAAATACACCACCAAGAGCCACCCTTTGGCCAGCTGGAATCTGCTCTGCTGTAGCCTGTGCTGTCTGTCCCTGCAGTAGCTGACAACACTGACATTGCTGCAGATGCAACACAGTATTGAGTTCCCCATAACTCAACTCCATCTCTCCTTGCAGTGGTGGCAGGTGGAAAAAGTGAACCCCATCAAGCTGTACGAAGAGAACAAAGTCATCGCGGGGTTTTCCCTTTTAAATCTGCTCTTCAAGCAAGGCCGGGCGGGCCTCATTCGAGGAGTGGTAGACAAACTCATAGGACTATACAACCAGAAGAAGATCAAGCCTGTGGTGGACTCCTTGTGGGCCCTGGAGGAGGTAAGAATGGCGCTTTTCTTTAGCAAATCACCTCTTCCTTTTCATCCAGGCAGGTTTGGGCAGCCACTTGCAATCTTTAACTAAAAGATTTTTTTCCCCTAGGTTTGTATGTTTTGAATGAAGGTCCTAAAAGGCATTTCCCCATAGTATAGTACTTTGGATGTATGAAATATTTTTAATTTCCCTGGTGGTTCTCACACCCCATGTCTCGCTGCACCATTTGTGCCATAAACCCTTCCCAGGTAGGCCATCAAATTTTGATGGATGTGTACAATTCACCTTGGTTACAAGAGTCTGTATATTGTTGCAGCATCATATATATTGTCACCCCATGAGTGTACAAGATACCAAGGTCAGAGCGGACAGTGGTTCAGAGCTATAATGATTTGTGTGCTAAGTCTGTATACTTTGAGCCACTGTGAAATATTAGTTACCATGATGGACATTGGAATCATTGCTTAATTGCCAGGTCTAGTGTTGGATTTAGTATTTTTGTTAATTAATATGCCAAAAGTTGTAGTATTTGAAAGTTTTTTTTTTTTTTTTTGGTACAAAAAGATTAATAACCCCTTCTGTAGCCTTCAAGGAGCCATAAAACCTTTGAAAAACATTTTTAAATATGTGGAGATGTGATTTTTTGCTTGTTTGTTTGTATCCTTCAGATACTGAAGCATGAACTGGTTGTATTGGCTCATACAAGATTTGCTAGGAGGAGGCAAGTCTAGAAAATCCTTTAGGACAATGAAAGTTTTAGGCATTTGGGAAGTCAGTTGTGGCAGCTACTTGTGAGGAGTAATAAGATGTGACCTGAGTTTCAAGAAGCATTTTGCTAAGAAATTTTTCTAAGTCAGGATTTTGTAACCTTTGCTTCAAGGAGCCATAAAACCTTTGAAAAATATTTTTAAATATGTGGAGATGTGATTTTTGTTTGTTTTGCATTTTTCCCAAGTGAGGTAACTTTTGGTATGAGTACTTTTTTGTACTTTTTGAGATCCACACAGACACCTTTTAAAAAACCTGACAAATACTAAGTTCTATGAAACAGACAGTGAATGTGCTTCTGGCAAGAAGGCTGTTACTATTCACCTGATGGAGTGCGTTGTCCCAAATCCAGTGGCTTCTCTAGGCACAGAAGTTCCTCCAAAAAAGCTTCTTGGTGTGGTCATTGCATAATCACATCCAAGTGGTCTTGGATCTATGGACAACGAGTATGCTTATGTAGGGGGAACCCAAGAAAACTCAGAATTTATTTATAAAAATTGTGTATTAATTCTTTTTTTTTGGAGTTGGAGTCTCACTCCTTCGCCCAGGCTGAAGTGCAGTGGCACACACACTCATAGCCACTCCAGCATTGACCTGGGCTCCAGCAATCCTTCCACCTCAGCCTTCTGAGTAGCTGGAACTATAGACATGCGCTACCATGCCTGGCTATTTTTTATTTTATTGTAGAGACGAGGTCTCGCCAAGTTGCCCAGGCTGATCTCGAACCCACAGGCTTAGGCACTGCACTTGTCTCTACCTCGCAAAGTGCTGGGATTACAGGCTGAGCCACTGAGCCCAGCCTGTATTTATTCTTGCATGTTAAACTTCAGTCATCTTCAAAGCACTCTTTGTTTGATGCACTACACCCATCGAGACACTTTTTCCACTGCTTAAAACAGTTTTTGAACTCATCCATTTGATGCCTTTTAGTGCCTCTGCCGTTTTCTGGTTTCACCTCTTCTACATCGCAAAACATTTCCCTCTGAGGACTTTTTTTCATACAGGGAAACAAAGCAAAGTATCTCGGAACAAGATCAGATGAAGTGTAGGGCATGCTGTTTTTAGTCAAAAATTGCTGAACACTCATCAGCCTGGTGTGGGCAGGTGCACTTGTAAATCATCCATCATGGAATGGGCAAATACATTGATAGAATCTCTAAAAGAAAATTCACTGAAGCCAAATGCAACCTCTCACAACAACACTAGCTGGTACACTGATGTTGATTGGTTTCTAGAACACTTACCTGGTGGGGGATGCCTGTATTACAAGGTGCCCACCCTCCAAAATAGATAATTCCAGGTTTTGGGGGTCCCCCCTTGTATATGTCTAATACTACAGTGTGATGGATGGTCTTAGAACCCCAACCACCAAAAGAAATTTTTCTCATTACAGTTTTTAAAGCACACACTCATTATAGAAATTTCTAACTTAAACAAAAACATAAGAAGAAAATAAACTGCCAGTCCACATTCCAGAGAAGAATGGCATCATTAACATCTTGGCTTGCTTCCATCCAGTCTTTTTTCTATCCCAGATGCTCTCTGTGATTCAATTTATTGCTACGTCATATTAGATAATCATGCATGCCTTCTGCTATGTCATTGCCAATGTAGTCAGCCTATTGTCATAGTTTTCTTAAAATATTTTTAATTTAGTGAGTCAGATATCCATATGGTATTCACAAAGGCATCTCAGTGGAACAGGGGAAGGCTGAGTTACACGGTTCCTGAATTCTCCATGATCAGGAAGGAGAGAGAATTGGGAATAGTCAATACTGGGGCTAAGAGATTATCTTGTCTGTGGAGTAGAGAAGGGGCCTTTTTTGATAGAACTCAATGCCCTCCTCCCCATCAAAACACACATACACACACACACACACACACACACACACACACACACACACAAATCTGATAGCATCTAGGCAAGGATTGAAATCCAAGAGGGACCACTTGGCCCAGTGGGTTTTTGTTCTAGTAGTTGAAATCACTCCTTGGTCACAATGGTGATGGAATCACCAAATATTTATTGACTAACTACCTCCATGTGCAGGACCCTGCAGACACTGGAGATACAGTGATAAACAGATGTCCAAGATCCCAAGACTCCATGGAACAGGGGAAAGGGACATAAAATCTGAAATAAACAAAAATTAGTGGAGTAATTGCCCATTGTAATAAGTTCTTGGAAGGAGGAACATTAGGATACATGTTTGTGAGAAAGTGGAGGTTACCTAATCAACACTCCCATGAAATTTTAATGCCATATATATGTATATGCATGCAAGTATGTGTATATAAACATATCCATATTTGTGTCCTATATTTATATCTGTGCTTTACACATTGAAATAATTTTTTTTATCTTCCAATACCAATATTCACCCCTTTTGGGGTGATATCATGCTTATCCAGAATGCATGCTGTAGAGTGACTTTAAATAAGGAAGATTACTCAGAGTAGGTGTCTTTTGATCTGGGATATGAAGGAGATAAAACACTGAAGGCAAAGCATTCAAGGCAGAGATACCCTCAAAAGCAAAGGGATGAAGAAACATCTTGGTGAATCCCAGGGTGGATTGTTGTGAGCCAAGAAGGGAAGGGGGTATGGGGGGTCAGTAGATCAGCAAGGGCCAGATGGAAATTCAGATTATTCTCTAAGTGGCATGAGAGACTGTGATAGGGGCCCAGTCAGGAGATGCCACATCCCGATGCCAAGGGTGAAGCTGAAATTGCCAGGCAGGATCCTGGGCAGCTATAGAACCTTGATATGATATTCAAGAATGATCTCAATGCAGCTAAGGAATAGGAAAGGCATGCCCTCTACAGACCAGGAAACTCATAAGAAAGAGGCCCAGCTCTCATTTGGGAGGGTCTGGCCAGGCATGAATGGGGCTTGTAAGACAGCAGGACTCATCTCCAAGCTCAGACAGTGGAGCACCACACATGCTGGAGTTGCCATGACTGGGTCAGGCCCTGAATCCCCTGAGGATGCAAAGGAAAGGTACTCAGCACCAGCACTGCTGAGAGAGGAGAAAGCCCAAGGTTGGCACTCATTTGACTGAGTCGTGGATCATATGCAAGCAAGTCTGGGACTTTACCTTGAAAATGTTTCCTTGCATCTCCACTCAGTGCTATCGTCTAAGCTGGACTCTCTCCTAGAAGGGGCCTCCTGACTGGTCTTTTACTTCCATTTTGCCCTGCCCCAGAGTATTATCTACCCAGCTGCCTGAGTGGATCTAGCAATACCTAAATCTGATTACATTCCACCCTGCTAAAAATCCTCCCGTGACTTCTGACTGAAATAGTCTAAATTTCTTGCTGAGGTCTGTATGGTCTTGCCCAATCTGACTCTGGCTTATCTCATCAACCTTACTTCTTCCACCCAAGCTTCAGCAGGGTGCATGTTTCTAGCCCTTGAGGCCACCGAAACCTTCCCTAACTTAACATTTGAACCTGTTGCTGCATCTATTTTGAATATTTCTCTCCCAATTTTCTCCAGTCTGCTTTCTTGTCATCATTCATGCCTCAGCTTCAATATGACCTACACAGAGAGACCATCTCAAACCCCCTCCTTGAAAGTAGCATCCTGCCCAGCCACCTCCTCCCAGGTCATTCTCTCTTCCGTTACCCAGTTTGACACTCTCCATGGCACTTATCACCAATTGAAATGATCTTGTTTGTTGATCTCATTCTTGTCAACTCATTTAAACTGTGGTCTCCCTTCCACTAGAATAGAAACCCTATGTGAGGAAAGACCTAGACTATGTTGTTCCAGACCCCAGTCCCTGGCACAAAGTAGATGCTCAATACATATATATTACATACATGATTGAATGAATGGATTCACTACCACACTGAAACATATTTTTATGTTTAACAATAAACATATGTTGAATGAGTAAATAAGTGAATGAATGAACAATCTATACTAATATACTAAAACATTACTTTAAGACAGAGTTTATTTGTTAAAAAATACAGTGGTTCTCAACCTGGGCAAGGAGATTTGTAGCTGAACAATTCTTTGTTGCATGTGTATGGGAGGGGGAACTTCTCTGTGAACTGTCAGATGGTGAGCAGAATCCCTGACTTGTACCCATTAAATGCCAGAAACACTTCCATACCATCAGCTATGGCAATAAAAAAAAAAAAAAAATCTCCAGGTGTTGTCAAATGTCACCTGGGTAGGACAAAGATAGGAGACAAAATCACCCCTAGTTGAGAAACACTGCTTTAAAA